AAATTAGAGACATTTATTGCTAAATGGATGCACATTGAGGCGATACTCTTAAGTAAAATAAATAAGACACATGTGTAAATACCAAATAGTTTCTCTAGTGTGAGAAACTGAAAGTGTAAAGAAGGGAATAGAATTAATATGCTAACCTTATACTTAAGGTGAAATGACTTTTTCTCAGAAAAGCACTTCCAGTCTAAACTAGGTGGTCCTGTGGTACTCTTAGGCTAAAACATAAAGAAGCCATAATTAAAAATCTAATTACTTATTTTACTGGCTACTTCCCACACCAAAACGCAAGGAGGGGACAGTGACAGGGACCTAGTCTGACTAGTTCACTACTCTGACCCAAGAGTTAGCATGACAACACAAAATGATACAATGGAAATTTTGGATCACAGAGCTAAGTTAAAAATTACTTTCTAGGGGCCGGGGATTTAGCTCAATGGTTTCGCCGCCTGCTGCGCAAACGCAAGAACCCGAGTTCGATCCCCAGTACCAAAAAAAAATAATAATAATTACTTTCTAGGGCCAGGGATTTAGCTCAGTGGTTTCACAGCCTGCTGCGCAAGCGCAAGGACCCAAGTTCGATCGCCGGTACCAAAAAAAAAAATTAATTTCTAAAGTTTCAATAATTAAAAAATGATTTCCTTTTCACAGAAATGTAAACCCGAAGTAAATCAATACACTCAAGTGCACATGCCTGTAATCCCAGGTATTGAGGAGGACCACAAACCGGAGCCCAGCCTGAGCAACACAGCAAGACGTTGTCTCAAAAAAATTATTTAAAGGATTGGAGATGTAGTTCAGTGGTAGAGTGCTTCTGGGTTTAAATCCCAGCCCTGCAAAAAGAAAAAAAATCCCCAACTCCAAAGTTTATCATGAAATGAGTATACGCATGCATAATAGTAACCACAACCTGGTAACTGTTTTTTGATAAATCAGTATACCAGTTTAGAGCAAATGGCATTAAGACAGAAACATCTCTTCTTTCAGTAATCCCAATAAATATAAAGGGAGTAATTCAACACCAGCGAAATTATGTTTTCTAAGGAGGTAACTGTGTAAAAAAAAAAAAATCTTGCAAACTATCTTAATATGTCCAAGTAATACACTATAATAAACAGCGTTCAACAAAAGATTATGTTACTAATGTAGTTACTGGAATTGTGTTACATTATAAACCTAGTTATGAATCCAGGCGTAGCGCTCGCCTGTAATCCCAGCACTGTGGAAGTAGGCAGGCGGATCGCAAATTCCACCTCAACCTGGACAACTTAGCGAGATCTTGTCTCAGAGATAATTTAAAAGGGTTAGGGATGTAGCTCAGGGCGAATGCTCCGGTTTCAAACACCAGTTGGGGGGAGGGGGGGGAGTAGTTATGAGTATTTTTCCCTACCTTAAAAAAAAATCTTTTTTGAAATTAGTTTAAAATATTTCCCAACAGTTTAAAAAGAAGTGGGTCTTCTCTTTAAGTAAAATTTATAAGACTAACTATAAAGATACAATTTACGTTTACCCACCAAAAAACCCATCATTAACACCACCAAAGCCACAGGTGGGGGCGGAGAGGGCCTGCACCCCTCGCCACTCCCAGAAACACACCTGCCTCCTACAATTTCCAAGCGGCGGAAGTGTTACTCAATTGCAGGTCAGCTTGAAAACCCATGCAGGTGTTCGTTCTAAGACCTCGACACAAACTCGAGGTGCTTTCCCCCCGCCGGCTGGACGGCTGCCGCGTCCCGTAGGTGAGGGTGCCCAGAGCCCCTCCCACGACGCCTGGCTGCCCAGCGCGCCGGACAGAGCCGGGAGCGCTGCGCCGCAAACATTAACCCGGCCGCGCGGCGGTATCGCCCGAAACCCAGCCGCCCTGCCCCATTGGCCGTCGACGCCCCTCCCCTCCGGCGGGTTTCATAAGGGGTCGACCCGCGGGGAACACCGGCCTGCCCGCGTCCCAGTGCAGCCCCCGGCCGTCACCAGGGTCGAGGCAGCCCCACCAGGCGCGGGCGAGGAGGGGTCGCACAACCCGGCCGCCAGACCTGGCGCTTACCTGGGTTGAGGACGACGGTCGACAGTGAGGGGGCCTCGGGGCACCGGCGACCAGAGAGGAAAACTCCCGAGAGAGAATGAGGAAGGGGCTCCTCAGAGAACACCAAGAAATGGCGGCACACTGGGTTCGCCCACCCAGCGCTAATCCCCGGAGGACCCTGGCCGTCCTCGGGCCCTCCCCTTAAAGCCCCCTTTAAGCTCCGCCCGTAGGGCGGTGCTCTGGGCTCTTAAATGGGCAATGCCACCGCCCCGGAAATTACCCCGCTGTAAGAAATTCGGGTTAAACCGGCGACGCCAAGCTGTGGCCGCCCAAAAGGCGCTACAAAAACCCAGTGGAGTTTGTCAGACCTTGCCCCTAAAGCAGGCACGAGTCCACAAATAACAACCACGTTAGTCCTATCAGGAAGGTGGCTGTCACTGCCATCTAGACACCGTAAAGTGCCTAGAAATTGAGCTGTTGGATTAATTCACCCATTCCTTTAATTAATTCGACCGGCCGTGGTGGTGAATGCCTATGGTCCCAACACTCTATAGGGATGAGACAAGAAGGTCACAAGTTCGAGCCTAGCCTGGGCAATTTGGACATTTAGAAAGACCTTATCTCAAAATAGAAACAATAAATAAGAAGGGCTGGGAATGTAGCTCAGTGCTAATGCCTTGGGTTCAATACCCAGCACCACAAAGAGAAAAGAAAAACAAACGATTCATTCTTTAAATATTTACTTATGTATGCTTTCTCTCCCATCCCTTGTCCTGGGGATTAAAATAGATTTGATCCCTTCTGTTAAAGGAATTTTAACTCAAAAAGAGACACAGTAAACAAATATGTGTCAAGTGGTGATAAGTATTATGAAGAAAAATAAAGCTGGGAAAGGGAAAGAAAAGATTGCTATTTAACGTAGTGTAGTCACTGTCTTCTGTGACAAAACAGCATTCTATCCATCCATTCTTCAGATAATTTATCTAAGTGCCTGCTGTGTTCTGGATAAGAAGAACAAAAATCTGTCCTGGGAGCTAGCCATGTGGCTCTTGCCTCTAATTCCAGCTCTTGGAAAGCTGAAGCAGGAGAATCAGAAGTTTAAGTCCTGTTTCAAAAAAGATAAAAACAAACAAATCCTTCAGGAGTGACAGGAAAAAAAAGAGATGAATGTGTAAAATTACTTTGGCAGACACTGACAGTGATAAATGCTAAAGAGAAAAGTAAAAGCAGGAACTAGTCTTAGGGAATGAATGGTTTCAGTTTGAGACAGACAGGCTAGGGAAGGAAGAAAATCTCTGTAAGAAGGTGGCATTTGATTGCAAACCTAAAGGAGGTGAAGGAGTGGTCATGTGGACATCAGGGAAGAGATCAAAGGCCCTGCAAGGGGGCATTGGGACCTTTTCAAGGAAGACCAGTGTGGCTAGAGGGGACGGAACAAGAAGAGGTGACAGAGGAAAGGGGCATGGGGTAGTGGCCTTGTGGGCCCTGGCTAGAGGAATAAGGCAAGTCAGGAGGATATTTCACAAAGATTCTGAAGTTTGGAGGAAAGGAGGAGAAACATATTTACTGAGCCCTTCTGGGAGTTTGATGCAGCTTCAGCTCTACCACCCAAAACCTGAGTCGGTGCAGCAGGGATAGCTGTTCTTGGCTCTACAGGTGGTGGCATTGACCAGATGGCTTCAGTCACCTGTGTGACATCTTTGCTGTGGAGGCAGAAAGGACAGTTGACTTCTCCTGTGCCTCTTGCTAGAAGAGTACTTGGGATGGCAAAAGAGTGAAAACACAAAGCCTTTTAAGGGATATACCCAGAAGTCACAGAAACACATCAGCTGCTGGTTACTGATTTAAGCAAGTGCAAGAGATGTGGGGTCAGGGAGGCTTCTGGCTAGATTTCAGAACAAGTCCTGGGAGGCCAGGTAATGTGGCCTTGAGGGGGCAGTTCATGAAGCTGAGAGGGTAAAACCAGTGCAGAGGAGACCCCAGGATATTAGAAAAGCTAGAAATGTGGAACATCTGAGGAAAGCCGTGAGAAGTGAGCAAAGCCAGCCCAAAGAGAAGCCACAAGGGCTACAACAACTTGGAGTGCTGTAACGGTGGGGCTAACACATCCCCTTTGGAGTTACACCACAATTTGTCCCTCGTGCTGGACATGGAACTACAGGATTTTTTAAAATTTTTATTTTATTGGTACATTTTAGGTATCCAATATAATAACATTTATCATTGGAAATGTGCACATTTACATAATCTCTCTTGGTCCTTATTTTCCCCCCTTCCCCTGCCCTCCCTTCAACCCCTCCA